ATCTGATTATCAAAATTAAAAAATCTCTGATAGTCAATGTGTTAAAATATGGAAATGCCTCTGTAAGAGAGAAGAGCCCAATTGTCACCAAAACGTTACAGCGAATTGGTTCAGTCCTCCTTTTCTAATATCCAATTGTACACAACATTTGAAGATTTTAATTAGGTAGTAGAGGATAACTACTTTTTGAGACATGGAGATAATTTTGATAATCAGGGTAGGGCTAAGTAAAGGCAGCACCATTTTGGATTCAGAGAGTTGTAAGGAGTGTGTGTGTCTGAAGCAATCAGCATGAAATTGTAGAAGACAGTTAAAGGAAGGAAGAAGGAAGCAGCCAAAGACATTTCTTCCATTTCAAAATTTTGCTCAGGGCAATCTTTGAGCCCTGGAGCAGGGAAGACACTCTCTTCTTCCTTCTTCTTATGTCACACTTTCCTCCACCCCACCTCTAGCCTCTAAGACTAAATCAGACTAATGCTATCAGTATAAAAACATGACTACATCCAGTTAAAGCCCCATGAAACATACATGTTAGTACTGCCCCTTCTTTTGATGGCAGCATCCTAAAGGGACTGTTTCAGATGAATGAAAATAAAAGGGAAACCATTATGCATGTCCTCCTTCCACATAGGGCCATTTATATATTGATGTGAGAGGGACCAGAATAGAGCAATGCAATCCACAAATGATCCTAAAGCTTCCTTTTGTTGATAGTTTCAACCTCTTCCCCATTAACTTTTTTTTTCAACTAGAGCTACTAATAATTTGCAATGATGATTAATTTGAGTGTAATGTACTTTCTGGCATTAGAAAGGGGCAAAAGGAGAGAACACTATACCTAGTTTATCTGTATAGACTGAAAGTCTTCCATTTATCTAGGCTTTAAGGTTTGAGAAACACTTTGCATATATTATTTCGTTTGAGCTGAAAAACTGTCCTATGAGATAAGCACTATGGGTATTAATTCCATTTTATAAATTAAGTAAGGAACTGGAGCTGAGAAACTGTATCTTAGCGAGGATGTTTATGCTCTGTATTTGTAATGCAGGAACCAAATATATGTTTCTTCTGACTCTAGGTCCAGCACTATACCACATTCTCTATACCACACTGTCCCTGTTCTCAGTAGTCAGTGTTTAATTATTAGCAAAACATTTTCATTTTTTATGTGGGGATAAAAATTATGCATCCTGCAATAAGAGAAACTGAGGCAGAGATGTGAGCCAATGGCATTTCATTAAAGTGTCTATGGTCCCCCTGTAGTGAAGTGGACCTCAGATCTTCCTTATGGTCTGAGATATGCCCCCTCCTTCTAGAGCGCTATTTTGATAGGGCTTGAAATCTAAATATTCAAGAACAGCTATACCAGATAACAAAATAATTCTTTTGGTTGAAATATGTCATATAGGCTAAAATAAGGAAAACGATATGTCAGCAGGGTTACAGGTTGAGACAGACAGGAAATATTTCCACTGAGTAGGTGATCATGAGGTAGTTATAAGATGAGTGAAGCATAAGGCATTCTCCACTGATTAGGTGGTCGTAAAATGGGCACCTTCTCATGTTGGCTAAGAGAGAATTGCTTAGGGGTACAAAAATAATTTGGGGAGGGGAGCTTTCCATGTAGTTGAGTCACCTCTGCCACACTGGGCTTAGTCACCATGACAAGGAAAAACAAGGGTGGAGAGCCTCTAACCAGCTTCCCATGATTACACAACTCATCTTAGCATCTGCAGCTCGTGGCACTGGGGCCAAATATACAGAACTTATAATCATATCAAATTGATACTGATTGGAATATAGTAAAGGTCTTCAATTAATCAACTTCCTCATTTAGTTCCTTGGAAAAGCAACCTGGCTAGTGGAATGAAAGTGGAGATTCAGAGTCTAAAGATTTGAGTTCAAGTAGTAGCTCTATCATTTATTAACCATGTGATCTGGGACAAGTTCACTGAGCCTCAATTTTCTTCATCCAGAAAAGGACAATGATAACAATATCCACAGCACTTATCTTCCCTCTTCATAGGATTTTATGAGAATCAAATGAAAGAAAGATTTTGATAACTATAAAGTACAATAGAAATATGAGTTGTGAATATTATTTCATAATGATGATGGTGGTGATGATGATAATATCTAGGGGGAATTAACAATACCTTCCATAATTCCCTCTTGATATTTTTAGAAGATCACATTTCTTTTAAAATAAATTCAGTATTATTACTATTTAGAGTGTAGCATTAATGGGTGTAGCATTAGAGGCACTGGCCTCAAAACCCAGGTCCTCTACTTTTTGCTCCTGTGATAATGGTAGTCATTTAATCTCACTATACTCATTTATAAAATTTAAAAAAAAACTGAATTGGATGACTGCTAAAGTCCCTCCAATATTAAATCTTGTAACCTAGGAACTGGGGTAGAAAGCTAGGCATGGTGATATCCAAGCAATAGACTGTCCCCTTCTCCCTCTTTCTCACTTACCACTACAGCCACATGAAAGTATTGATTTAATGGAAGATTTAGGCTAATATGTCTGACTTATTGGATTTGTAAACTTGGGACTAGGATTTGAAATTGGCTTGATTTTATGAGGATCCTGTCATTATGAAACTGACTTCTTGTTCTTAAGATATTAACTATATGAATTATTAATTCCTTCTTAGAAGAATGTAAAAGAGAGACAAATTACATACATATATATGTATGTATACACACGCACACACACAAACGATTCTGTCCTAAGTCTTTTCCACTGACTCTTGGTGATCTCATTTCTCATATGGGTTAAATTATTTTCACTACACAAATATCTCCCCAATCCATAGATCTAGGCCGTATCTGTCTCTTGAACTCAAGTGCCCCATTATCCACTACTTCTCTGACTTCTCCTGCTGGAAATTGCACTTGCATAACAAAATCCAAATGTCTAAGATAGACCTCATTCCCTAGTCTCTTGATGACTACTTTTACTTCAGCATTCCTCATTATTTTTGATAATATCTCTCTCATTCCAGTTACCCAGTTGAACAACCTTAAATTTTCCCCTTCCCCTCCCCCTCTGCTCCAGTGAAATTGTTGCCAAGTCATACACGTTTTTCTCCCAACCATCTTTCATTAATCACCTTTTATTCATTCAAAATGGTAGTTTAAGCTATCAACACCTGTTGTCTATTTTGCAACAACCCCCAATTTCTCCTCTTGTTTCTATTATTTCCCTGTTCCGATCAATTTTCCACATAGCTGCCAAATTTTTATTCCTAAAACATAAGTCTGACCATGTCTTTCACCTGCTGACCAGTCTTTGACAATTGTCCATTGTCTCAAGGATCAACTCCAAATTCTTCAACCCAGTATTTAAAGTCCTCCAAAGTTTGACTCTCTCTTAACTTAATAACCTATATTTTCTTTGTGTATTTCAGGTTGTGGTCCAACTGGCCTGTTTCCCAAACATGACATTCCATTTCGTATCTCTACATTTACACAGACTGTCCTTCATAACCAGGATCCATCAGGCTTAGAAATGGATTCCCTTCTCACCTTTGCCTCTTATAGATCATACCTTCCTCGAAGGTTCAGTTCAGGAACTACCTCCAATGGGAAGCCTTTCTTGAATTCCTGTCCAACTCTTTATAGGGATTTAGTAGTCTTTCCCTCTACAAATTATCGCTTATTTACTTTTCCACATATTCTGTCCAGTACCTGGTTTGAGCAACCAGGAACTGGAGATAAAGACAAAACCACAACAGCCCCTTCCCTTTAAGAATGTTAGAAGAAGATAATGGGTGTATACACAAATAGATGCCGCGTATCATTTGGGTGGAAAAGACACTAGTGGTCTTCAAGATTTGGAAAAGTCTCATATGGAAGGTGATTCTAATTCTGTTTTGAAAGAAACGAGGGATTTTAAGAGGAATAATCGATATAGTGATGCATTCTAGACATTGGGGATAGCTAATGCCAAATCATTGGGAAATGGAGTGTCTTATATAAGGAGCAATAAGGCCAGTTTGACTGTAATATAAAAAGGATGAAGGAAAATACTGTTTAGCAAAGCTGGAAAAAGGTGAGTCAGGACTGGGATAAGTTTTAAATGCCAAACATTTTGTATGTGATTTTGGTTCCTAGGGTTTAGGTTTAATATATATTCCTGCAAAGATGATAACAAGATGTAGAGGAGATCATGTCCTCCTCCGTGTCTCATCCTGAGTCACTTCCTTTAAAACAAGGAGCTATTTCATTTTTCTCTTTGTATTTTTAGCATGTGGGTACTTATGTATCTAGTAGATAGTGGGTACTTAATACATATTTGTTGAATTAGTTGATTTTTTAAAAGAAATTTTGCAATTGAGAGAATAATTGACAAGAAAGTTAGCACATGTAATATTGTGAATTGCTTTTCAGCAGAGATATTTCTTTTAATATTCAGAGCTGTACTTTAAGTGGTTGGGTACAATGGAGGAATCACATGTCAGACATGATGTTGGGTGCCATAACTATTGTTAATGAGCATTCAAACAAAAAGTCACAGTTAATGAACAAAAAAAGAGATTGTTAAGAATCCCTTCATTTCCAAAACCATTAAAAGCTGACTACATATTGCTATTATTAAAGCAGAGAGGCTGCCATGGAGTATTCACTGATTTTCACTCACCTAGAAGTCAACACTAACTGTGTGTAGATTTCACTAGGTATTTTCCCCAAGAACCAATCCTACATTTGGAGAGCCTGCAGAGATATACAAAAATATTTCATATAAGATTTTTGGACACAGAGAACACATTTGCATCTGCTTCTTGTTTATTTTCATATATTTCCCATAAATGATTTCTAGTTTGTATATTGTGCATCTTAGTTCACTTTCTCTGAAATAATTGAATCCCCATAGTCACTTTGAGGAATAACAGGCCTTCTAAATTCAAAGACATTTATCCTAATTGTCTGGGAATTGTTTCTTTTTTAATACATTTGTATTTTTTTTCTCTCTCTCTACATTGTTACAGGAGGATACAGATCATAATTACTATATTTCCAGGATATATGGGCCATTTGACTCTGCCAGCCGGGATTTATGGGTGAACATGGACCAAAAGGAAAAAGATAAAGTGAAGATTCATGGGATTTTGTCCAATACTCATCGACAAGCTGCAGTAAGAGATTTGACAAATGCTCATTTTCCCCCCGATAAGTTGTTACTTTAATTGCTATAACTGTAGCATTTGTTGAGAAAACTACTCAAGGAAAGTCAGCTTTCAGGTTGCCTGTGGGCTTTTATGGAAAATAAAGAAATGAAGTTGTTTCAAGTAACCTGCATTTTATTTAGTTATTTTCCCCTCATGAGATGCTACAGAAAGAATGGAATACTTACCTCAACTTTATGATTTATCTTAGGTGTTTTTGAGAATCTCTTTAAAAGCTCATAGTCCTGTATTACAGAAATATTTCAAACATTTTTCTTCAGTTATAACCAGATGAACCCACTGAAGCCATCAATTCCATCATTTCCACATGTACATGTTAGTAATTCATAGCCATAGAATAAAATTAGATCAATTGAGGATATCCTTCTATTTGCAGATGCCCAGTCCCTACTATCAGTTTCCTCTTTCCCTTCGCCACATTGTTTATATTTTATGTGGCAGATCACTACTTCTGGGGTCACTTTCATAAAAAAATTCCTTTAAGTCCTTGTTAGAATCATAAAATTGGGGATAGAAGGGATTTTTAAAGGCCATGTTACCCTGCCCTCTACTTACACAGATTGGGAAACTGAGCTCTAGAGCAGCTAAATAACTTGTCCCAGTTCATAGAAGTAATAAGATAAAGAACCAGATTTAGAACCCGGGTTCTCTGACTTCTCAGTGAATTTGAAAAAAAAATCAACCTAAATCAGTTGACTCAAAGTATACAATTAGAACTCTGAACTTAAAGGTAAAAGATGTCATGCATGAGGTGAATTTATGACTTAGAGTATAGGATGGTTACACATCCCAAAATACATTTGTTATTTCTTTCATCTGATAAATATTTACCAAATGCTTATTATGTTTAAGGCACTGCATTAGACATTGATTTTCTTCTGGAGAACTTTGGTATTTGCATCAAATTCCCTTTGATACATTGATTACTAGATTATAAGAAATATCTTTTTTAAAAAATCTGAACAGCTTGAATACCACCTATGTAATAAGTAGCAGGGATGTTCTAAGCACTGTCTAGGCCATGGTGATTAATACATGTTCATAGTCTCCTAAGATAGCAAAATAATTCTTTATAGACCTTCCATTGTTATTCTTATCTTTAATCTAAAAAAATGAAATTATCAGAATATATTATGATTTAAGAGGCACTAGTTAAGTACCAAATACCAAGCCTTACCTTTGCAAATCAACATCATTCTTCATTTATGGCTCTGGAGGAGAAAGTGAGGCTGATGACTTTGTATAGCCCTCCCTTACTCAAATCAGAGTCAATTGCAAGTCATGTCATCATCTCCTTGATGTCATGGTCCTCTTCGAGAAGGAAAGACAAACCATACAGTGTATATATGTATGGATGTCCATGAGACTGGCTTCTAATAGCTGGATAAAAGCTAAAAAACCTTTAGCATTTGTCACACGTTAAATATCAGCAGTATATTCTAAGGCTGAATATATTTTCTCTCTGATGCGATACATTTTTTTTTCCTCTCTAGGGCCAATAAACCCATTGCATCTTTTTTTTTTTTTCTCCCTAGGGCCAATAAACCCATCACAAGACGCCAAGTTCTAAAATATTATACTGTGGGATTTAGGTCAGATTCTCAAAAGAAAGATAAAGAATGAACATTTGTAGATGAGACTGATGTCTAGCAGGTGTTCTCACAGCATGTGTCTTTTCCAGATCCCAGGAGCAAGAAACATGCCAACTTGCTAGTAGATGGGTGAATGAAGGTGTGAGGATTCTAGAAAATCCTGTGACAGAGTGGCCATTGTTAAAGGATGTTTCAGTCTAGGGCAAGAACAGTCTATTAGATATTTATAATCAGAGACAAAACTTCAGAAACACTAGCTTTTGATATCCAAAGAGTGTTTGGACAAAACCTGCCAGGGCCATACCCGGATATGAATAGATGTTATCAAAGAGTTTATTTGTCCTTCCTGCAACTCCTCTGGGAAACTCCAAAGAAGACTTCAGCTGTAAATGACAACTTAAATAACGGGAATACCCACACAATAAACAGAGATAGAAGATTACTCTTGCCTTTGGGTAGCCTTTGAAATTCTTCCTTCTTCCTTGATTTGTTTATTTTTTTAGTTACCCTGGGGACACCTGTGGCTCACATTGCCATGTCTGTTGGAAGATACCTCAGCATGCATTGTGATAACTCCTTGGCAGTGAGACAGATACCCTGACCATGTGTCTACATTTACCACTTTTAATTGTATGCAAATAACACCCACATGAACTGTCCTTGGAGGATGATCTGGAAGGGCAGTTACCACAAATAGGCGCCTACTTAGCTGCTTTGTGGGAAATCACAGACTGTGGGCAGGGAAATTCTCTACAATGTTATCCTGTCAATGTCACCTTTGGGTTTATTTCAGATTTTATTCAACCAGTCTAAGGAACAGGATTTTTATTCAAAGAGCGCTAACTTTTAATTATAAATGTCTAGCTATGATTAAATGGAGACAAGTCTGCGTGTATACACATATATCTGTATCTGCAAAGAGTAAATCATGTTTGTCTTAAAGAGCATTGAATTCTTATATTGTTAAATTCTTTGGAAAGATTTTTTTAGACACACAAAACACGTAACTTTAAAAATCCCAATAACCTGTTTAGTTGAAGCTAGTCTGCAGTAACTTTCAGTTCTTTATACAAAGATAAATTCCTCCATTACAGAAAACAGACATCTCCCAATTTCTGTGGCTCACTGATTGAGGTACTAATGACTTCCTAAGAAGTAATGATTGTTTTGTAAGAGAATTTGGATTTAATTTTGTTCAAAATTCACTGTTTAGGTAATTTTCCATTTTTAGATTGCTTTGTTATTTGAAAATGAAAATAGGAGTCTGAAAAATCTAAGCCTCTTCCACCATTCACCTACTGGACTTACTGTTCTAAGACCCACTGTTTTTTGGGGGGAAACAAAGAAAGCCCTAGTGTACTAGGAAGGAAGCATCACAAAGAAGCAATTCTTACAAATAGTGTCAGAACTGTTTTTGCAAAGATAATCATTGTCACCATTTACATGGCACTTAATATTTCCCAATGTAGTTATAATAATTGCTATTAATTATGCTTCATAGTTCCATGAAATGAGCCTTTTGTACTGCTTTCTTCCTTTCCATTCTTTTTTTTAAGGGTAAGTCAATAAAGAAATCAAAGGGGGATCGGATCAAGATGACAAAGAAAATCAAGTTAATAAGTATGAGACCTCATACTCTTAATTTTCATCAGGGGTAGACTTTTAGAAGCAAACACCTCCCAGTTTATACACATGGGGAAGGATTTTTTTGTTTGTTTGTTTGTTGTATTTAGATTTCCTACTTCTTTTCAAAGAGCCAAGAAGCATGGCACAGATGTAATGCTGATTGGAATGTGACTGTGTCATTTCAATTCACATCATCTTTGGGGCCCTAAAAATGGTATGGATATGAGAGAAGAAAAATGGGGCCTGAAAGGACTTTATTTTTTGTGTATTTGAGACATGTTATCCATAGTCACTGTGATTTAGTATAAAGATAATTATAACCAGGACACATATGCACATTCCCATTTTCTCTCTCTGTCTCTGTCTCTCTCTGTCTCTCTCTGTCTCTCTCTCTCTCTCTCTCTCTCTCTCTCTCTCTCTCTCCCTCTCTTTTTCTCACACACACACACACACACACACACACACACACACACACACACACACATATGTATATATGCATTCTCTGAACCATCATTTGTAAGCATAGTGATGAATCAAGTAATGACTACCAACAGCGGAACGCAAGAATACAGGAAGAGAAGCCCTGTTTTTCTTTATGTACATGGAGACTTATTTTCATGTGCCTAGAGCCAACTGGGAGACTTGAACTAAATATAAGACCAATATTAAAGCAACGATTCAAATGTAGTCTTTCCCATTAAGAAATTACTATGAAGAATGGGAGAATAAGAGCTCCTAGAGGACAGGAATTTATCTTTTTTTTTTCAATTTTATTAATTTATTGATTTATCCCCTTTTCCTCCTACTGCCTATAGGGCAAGTTAGATTTCTATAACTAACTGATTGTGTTATGCCCTTCTTGAGCCAAATCTGATGAGAGTAAGGTTCAAGCAATGCTCAACCCCCCCCTCTGCTGTAATAGGATTTTGTGTCTTTTCCTGTAATGTAATTTACCCTTGTCTGCCTCCTCCTTTCTCAGTACATTTTCTAAGAGCATATTGATCCACTCATTTGGATCCATTTAACTCACTTGATTAGATTTTTTTTATCATTACATCAAAGTCAACGAATATCCACCCTCTTTATGTATACTCCTTTAATATGGTATAATAACAATACAGTTCTCAGGGTTGCAAGTGTCATATTCCCTTGTAGGGGTTTAAACAGGCCCCCCCATTAACAACATTTCTGTCCCTTTACCTTTTTAAGTCTTTCTTAAGTCCTGTACTTGAAGATCAAATTTTTTGTTGAGCTCTGGTCTTTTTATCAGGAAAGTTTGGAAGTCTCCTCTTTCCTTGAATATCCATCTCCTTCCTTGAAAAATGATGCTCATTTTTGCTGGGTAGTTGATCCTTGGCTGCATTCCAAGCTCCTTTGCCTTAGGGAATATCATGTTCCACACCCTGCGGTCTTTTAATGTAGATGCTGCAAGGTCCTGTGTAATCCTGACTGGGTTCCATGATATTTAAATTGTTTCTTTCTGGCTGCTTGCAGCACCTTCTCTTTCATCTGGTAATTTTGGAATTTTGCTATTATTCCTTGGCGTTGTCAATTTGGATCTCTTTCAGATGATGACTGGTGGATTCTTTCTATGGTTATTTTCCCTTCTGGTTCTAGGACTTCAGGGCAGTTTTCCTTTATGATTTCCTGAAAGATACTAGGACAGGAATTTTTTTTTAAAATGTCCTTGTACCCCTGGAAACTAATGTAGGGCTGTATATAAGTAGATAG